CTCTCTGCTCTTCTGCAACGAGGATGCACGTCGTTGAAGTCGTGCTCCTGTGGTGGAAAGCTTCTTCTGGGTCACGAGCAAACATTGAGAGAGAGACAGAGAGAGAAGATGGAAGAGAGAGAGAGGAAAGGGTTACGTTCCTCCGACCGACTCCGACATCTGCTCCGGCGTGTTATTTCCAGCTCGCGCGGGAGATACACACGGCGGCACATCGGCTCGGCGGAGCGGAACGTCGAAGTTTCTTTCTCGCCTCTCGCGGAAGTGTGTGTTCGTGTGCGAGAGGGTGCGTTTGTTGTAACGAGCGAGTAACCGGTTTGCAAACGTAAGCGCGCGGAAGTTATCGGAGTATATAGTCGGTTGGAATGGAGAGGATCATCCTTGCGCTGTTTCTCGTTCCGCTTCTGAAACACGCGGCGCACAGACGGGTAGATCGCCGACTTCGAATATGCTACCGCAAGTCTTACGATTATGGTCATTGCGCCGATTTCGACGTGGTATCGCGCGCGATGCGAGATTCGGGATAACACGGGAAGCTCGTTTTCGGTGTAAAAGCTTCGACAGACCGTTAGAGCGTGCGGTTAGTATCGCCAAAGCTCTGGACCATCAAGTTATCATCGCGCCGAAGGTGTGACGAAGTTAATATCACGTCTCGGGAGATATCGTGGCAACGATCTAACCCTCTTCGGGGAGCTGTGGGATATTGTTGGGAACATCCCTGAGTCTCAGGAAAATGGAACGTCCATCCTTCCCGCGAACGTCGACTCGTATAAGTTTCGCGAAGGCGAGATTCGTACGTCGAGAAACTTGTTGAACTTGAGGATATCAAGCAAGTTCGACGTTGAAGTTACACAGTGTTCCAAGTATACGCAGCCGGATCTTATACATGTACATATATATTTGTGTGTGTGTGTGTGTAAGTAACGTTACATCATGAACGGCTGAATTTCGCGCCAAGTTCCAACTGACAAAGTTGACAGTATCTTCGACCGAATCTCTTTTCGGGTTCGTATTCCACTATATAACGGAGTTTGCATTGAACACGCAATATGAGTCAAGTCGACTACTGTTAGGCGACTATTTATCCTCCAAACGCGCGCGTATGTACGTCTATATGTTTGCTGAACTGCAGCTACTTTGACTGTGACAGAAGTCACTTCGGGTTTGTCACAGCAAACAGGGAGGGGGAGGGGAGGGGCACTTGACTTTGTCGCGGCTTCGTTTCACAGTCTGCAGTTTCACTTTTGTCTTCTCTGAGAGTTGAGAGAAGTTGATTTGACATTGTTAAGAAAAGAGGGAGTGAGAGAACGCGAAACAATAATCGAAAAATTCTCTCTCTAGTAAAAAAATTTTGGTTTCGACAGGGAAAAGATCTTAGGCGCACAGATATTATATCAACCTGTTCGGACTTCGATGCGAGCCAACCGGAAATAATGCTCGTCGAGAGACGGCGGAATACGAGAACAGCCGTATTTGCGAGGTGTGTAATGTTAGCTCGCGTGAGATTTTGCCTGGTCATCAGAACACGGAAGCGGCAAAATCGCTGGCGCGACTCTTTTATTCCGATGTTCCGCATTCAGAATTAGCAACCGAGCAAGAGAACTTTGATATTCGAGCTGCCGGTGCAACTCAACGATCGTCTTCGACTAATTGCGTCAGTGAAACATCATTATACACGACGTCGGTAAAGGTCGTCGGATATAAAGAAAAAAAAAGAAGAAGAAGAAATGTCGAGATAAGATCTCCGTAGAAAACGTCTCTTGGTTCTTTCTTGATATTATTTTTACCTTCTTTACCCGTTTTAAAAGGTGCACTCAGCATTCGAAGGTGTTATGAATAATTTTTTTTAAATCCTTAAGGATGAATATTTTTTTTTCGAGTTTTGAGTAGAGAGTTTTGATTGAGAGAGAGTTTCTAATTTATTTTCGAGAGATTGCGCGAGTTTTCTTTATTTGGTCAATGTTACTGCATAAGGCAGATTTAATGAAATTAATATATTACATATAATATACATGCATATATAAATTTATCTTGAGATAAATTAATTTTTTACAAAAAATTATCGACGATACATAACAATACTGTAAATACATACAAGTGTTTTTGATGAAATATCGCGATAACAGCAATATGCATAATAATGCTTCCGCGGAATTCCTCTTTGCTGGTAACGCGGAAAATCTAATCTTTTCGATAACCTGGTACACGAGTTTCCTAGAGCTTGTATTGTTATACGCTGATAAAGTGTCAGTCGAATGAAGAAGGACAGGAAGTAGGCGGTGCGGAGGAAGATTTAGGCGAAGAGCTTTGCTCGTTTACCTCGTCGAGGTGACGCGTTCTAGACACGTCCGACACAAACGAGCCCTGATATCTCCTGTTCCGCGAAAAGAAAAACTTTCGTGTTTGTGACAATGTCGGAATTCGGTTCGCACCACGTTTCGCTTCAGTTTCTTGATGTGCAAAAAGCGCATCAAACTGATTTATGTTTTCCATTTAGTTTTTAAACTTTTTCTGTTTTTAGGTAAAAATTACTAATAATTTAAGAGAGATCACGACGCAAACTGGTGATATTCAAAATAAATTATTATAAAAAACAATCTGTACACAATAAAAAAATTGTGTGTTCATATATGAAAATTTTCTTGTGTTATTTCGTTTTGATTATTACTTCAATGTAAAATTACAACTGCCACGCTATTATTTTTGTAACGTTTTCATGTGTTAGATTTACATCACTTCACAACTTAACATTTTGCGCACAGAAAAAATGGAGTTGTCACAAAAATAAATAATTCATTCAATTGCATTTGCAATTAATTTATTATCTATATTCTTAAAGCAACTATTTGCTGTGTGCTGTGCAATAATATTGATATTGCATCAACAGAATATATTTTGATTAAACTGATGCTATTGTCAACATCAAGTTTTTCCGTGTGTATGTCACTTAATAATAAAAATTAATATTAATCGAGAAATGAATATTATTTTGTAAGTGTTTTTAACACAATTAATCCACATGTCTCTCAATTAATCTATATGTTACAAAGTCAATTTTCAACATTCTAAGAAAAGTTAAATTAAATCTCAAACTAATCGTGAACTTTGACAAACAAAATAATCGAATTTACTTTAAAATCAAAGTTAAAATAACTATTATCATGTGCTAATTTAACACAAGAAGTAAGTGTGTTTTTTGAAATACATTTCTTATAAGTTGTTGTAACTACTTTTCCATGTAGTTTTTAATTATTTTATATTATGTTACATTATTTTGTATTATGTTATGTTTATATCATGCTTTATATTATAGTGTGTTTAACATTACTAATTTGTCAAATAAGTAACACATGACGAATGAGTTAACTTAACTTAATAAAAAAGATAAAGAGAAATTTTTATTGATTCCCCTCAGGGTTACAATATTTCCTTACGTTCCTCTTCCACATTTCCCACAACCAATTCAAGCTGATTGAAGGCCCGATTCAGTTCGATTTTTTTCTATCAAAATAAACTCGACTTGAAAGAGACCGGCCCCAAAAAATCTGACATTGTGGATTCGAACTCGGGACTTCCCCTTTACGCTCAGGCTGCGAGACCACTGAACCGGTTTAATTTAGCTTAATATAGTAGTGCCTCGAAATTTTTCCGCTCGCGGAAAAATTTCAAGGAAGGTATGTGTTTCGAGAATTGCCGGCTGTTATCTCTGATTGGCTCAATCACAAGCTCGATCGTCGCAGAGCCATCCCCACCAATTCGCGCGAAGCCTCGGCGAAGAACTTCTAGAAATTGGTGGTGGGGATGACTTCCGGAAAAATATCGAGACAAAAATGCGGAAAATTTTCGAAGCACTACTGTATTTAGAGCGGACTTTTTGAAATATATATAAAAAATGACAAAATTAACATTTTCTTTTTCACTGTGTATGCAATATTAATATTGTGTAATAGTCACTAACTTCGATGTGACAACTAATCCTGATCTTTCCTATTTTATTTATGATTCTTTATCTCTAATTAATATTCTCATAACTCGCTCTCTTAAATTGATTTAAATCAATCACTCTGATTGTTTGAAACAAATGATCAAAATATTTCTTGAGAGTATTTCTCCATTGACCTCAATCCGTTTTATCGAGGTATTAAATTTAAGATCTAGGTATCCTCAGTAATTACATACATGCTATATGAATTTGTTATCGACTTTAATAGAAATTATTTAAGGAAAACTTGTCTAATATCTTGCGATGGAATCGAGAAATTTCGAGATCAATGAACCTGTTTACTCGCATTAATAGGGTACTATCGGCTCACCCTTCGTACGATAGGATGATCATCAAACTATACCGCATCTCAAATAGCCCGATGCTATTCCGATCGATTCTCGTTCAACGTAAGTAGAACCAGATGCCGCGATCAATAATTTCGTCAAAAATTTGAACGTTTATAAATACCCGAATCAATTTATAAATGTGTTTCAAAGCGTATCAAACATGATAAGATTATAATAAAAATATTACATTTCTTATAAGGAAAAGATTTGAGATAAAAAAAAAAAAAAAAAACAGGAAAATGTGTGCGTAAAAGCTAATTTTTAAATTCTCTCTTCTCTCCTTTTATTCCATTATTTCCTCCGAATAAAGTACGTATATAGTCGGCGCAATCGGCAAAACTCGTATCAAAGACAAACTGTCACGAACCAGACCCGAGTTTACAACGTACGCTCGCGCGCGTACATGCTATGTAATATCTGTAACAAGCGGGCGGTAACGGCGCGGCGGCGGCGGGCGGCGTGGTTAAAGTAACATCAGGAATTTCCGAGCGTCCTGACGAACGGCGTGACTAACATCCCACCGTTTCTCTCGCAAAACGAACTCGTTCTCTCGGTTTGCGTTCAGCCCGGAGAATCGCGGAAATCGGTTCCCCGCGGCGGTGAACGTAAATTGGGAAACGCCGATAAACTTTGACGTTACTAACGTCGCAGAACGCCGGCGGTGAATGAAGAAGACACACGTCGGTGGTGGCGGCCTTGAACAGGCGAGCCGGAAAAATATGGTGCACGAGGGCACGGGTCTGTGGCACGCGGCGGGATCCAACGCATCGAGGTGGCTGATGATCATAATACACGGATACCGAGCCACTACTCTCGTCCTGTACATCCTTCTCAACGTGCTGGTGCGCACCGGTGAGTACCAACCCCTACCTTTCTATGGATTCCGCCCTCTTGTGAACGGAACGTTTGTTTTTCTGCGGGTTGTTTGCTTAGGACCCGTCTTTCTCGTCAAAGCCGAGCGGATTCTGGCCGGCGCGTGTAAAGTGGAGAGACAGCTTCGAGCGCTGTCGCGCCCGCGTGTGTGTTGACTACTTGTTCGTTTTCTCCTCTTATATCCATACTTGACACAATCGCGTTCAAAAATTTCTCCCGCAAACATCACGTCTGTTTGGTTTGTATATCGTATTATTTTATTAATATTTTTTTTTTATAACAAGCGATAAACGCGCGTATCCGGTGCGAAATGTCGTTACAATAATACCACCACGTATCGAGTACAAATAAATATCAATATTAATTTTATATCGATTTCGAATTTATATTTATTTCTTTGCGAAGAAATTTAAAAACATTTATTTATTTTCGCATTTATTCTGTACGTATCTGTACGGACTTCCGTGCTGTCGTATACAGCCTTGCAGTTATTGGATATTTATAGAGAGAGAGTGATTCAAACGAGCTCTTTTATTCTTTTTTTTTTTTTTTTTTTTTTATATGAAGTTATTTGCCTTAAAAACTGCACAGAATTTACGCGTTCACGCGTTCATAAGAATTTTATTTCCGTTCTATTCTCTACACGTAATACGAAAGTGTCAGTGCAACTCCATTTGCTGAGATGTAGCTCTAACTGTGTTATTTATNGCTCTTTTATTCTTTTTTTTTTTTTTTTTTTTTTTTTAACACGGAGTTATTTGCCTCGCATACTGCAAAAAATTTACGCGTACACGCGTGAATAAGAATTTTATTTCCGTTCTATTCTCTACACGTAATACGAAAGTGTCAGTGCAACTCCATTTGCTGAGATGTAGCTCTAACTGTGTTATTTATTGTTCACAATAAATATCTTGAGATTATTTGACATTGCTTTATCGCGAGATGTCCATTTCCAATTGTTATTAATTATCAATGATTTTATATTTATTATTTGCGAAGAGATTAATGACCGTCCATTTAATACAAGTGCGATAAAATCTTGTCCAAAATTCAAGTAGTACCTGTCTTGTTTATCTCTCGAATGTTGCAACGCGACAATAAATCGACGTTGGCACTCGAGATACACGTATGATATGACGATACATCATAGTTCGCCACTCAAAGGATTAATGCATTTAAATTACGCTCCAGTATGCGCAGATATACTGCCGGCCTATCGCGATACGGGCAATAAAAAGCGGAATCTGGCTGTGCACGCGTATTCGTTATATTATGTTTTATGAATTTAATAGAACGTCCTTCGTAAAATACAAAACGGCGATTATATTGTTGCCGCTCGACCGCCTGCGATATCAAATTTGTAAAGATATATTTATTTATACGCGCGGCGCCGCGTCAACTTATGTCGTTAAAACTTTAATCTTTCATTTTCACGAGATATATTTACATCTTCGAAATGATCGAAAAATAATTTGTAAAAAAAACTTTTTTCCAGATTTCAATAAAAAAGAATCCATTCTTTCTATTTATTTGCACACCTGACAAATTAATAATAATAATAATATTTTTACTTTTCTACGCGCAATGAATCTAAAAATATGTTGTTTACGCTAAAAGTAAGCGCATATTTATTCGGAATATATATATTCGCTGCGTTAAGATTGCCAAATAAATCTCGTTTTTGAATACTTATGGCACTCATCCAAAATATAACGTCAGCATAAGAACGCTGTAATGCTTTATATGCAAAACATACAGACGTAAAAATACGAGAATATTTTCAGCATCTGCATCGCGTGAAACGCAAATCCAAAAGTGCAAAATTTTGCGTGCGTTGTACTGATAAAACGCAAAAAGTGCTATTATTTTCTTTTATTTTTTTCGTCCGTTATAATGAGGAGGGAGGTTTTTAGAAATATAAGTTTTACGAATTAAATTTTACAGGCGCGCAACCGTTCTTTTTACATTTTCGCATAAAATGCAAAAAAAAAAAATATAAAAACTGGCCTATTTTGTTTATTATGCGAGTTTTTGAATGACAAACAGACAACTTGTTTTCTCTCGCTTGCGCGTTTTGGAAAGGAAATATATTGGGTGTAAAGAGCGTTTCTTGTCAAAAAAAAGAAAAGATTCTATAAATCTAAATAGAAGTCCGACAGCCCGTTGCGCGATAAGACGAGGGTGTAAAAACTAAGAGAAAAAAAAAAGAGAATATAAAACGCAGCTGTGTCCGTCTCCGAAGAATTCAGAATGCCCGAACAGCGTGCAGCACGCCGTTCGATTACAGTAAAATCTTTATAGGTGATTGAAGAGAATCGACGAATCCTTCGCAGTCATTGCTTTTACCGGCTCGGAAAGTGCGTCAATAATCTTCCATTTACGCGCGTTAATATTTCCAAGTTCTCTGTTAGAAATAAGATCTATCTATAAAAGAGATCTATATCCGCGCGCGCCGGTTTGCTCTCAATCTTTAACAGCGCCCTTGTAAAACCTCAATTCGACAAAGCAACGATTGCATCCGTTCCGCCACGTGTTTCGATGGACCAAGCCGCGATCCAATTATCGGCCTGTAAGTTTCAATCAGTCGGAGTAAAAAGTATTCGCGTCCGACAGTTTCGATCAACGTCTCGCGAGGCAAACTTTCGAACGCGAAATTTCCGACTCGATGGTATAACTCAAACGTTCGACAGAAACATATTTATAACCGCTTCTGATTTCTTTTCTTTTTTTTTTTCGAAAGAAAATGTTAACGTGTGTTTAGACGTATGTACGCTTTTCGATAACTGGAAAGAAACGAAGAAAACTAGAACTGTTTAAGAGAATACTGGATATGCCGACTATAGAGATCTAAATAAAGCGACGAATTTTAGAAATCTAAATTTGTTTAATTTCTAATTTTTTGTACTGCATCACATGAAAAGTGCTTCTACAGAAGCAAATAATTGTCAAAAACTACATAGTGCTTTTGCAAATAAATATATAATGTTCTTTTGACGACTCTTTGTTTTATTCATAATGATAGCATATGATAATCTATTCTGTCATATCTTTTTTTCTCATCAACTAGATATTCTAACCATAATCTGAGTGTCTCATTACGTTATTTTTTTGTCGCACTTAGTGCGTTGATTCAGTGTAAATACGTATAGAAGCTTAGAAATAATTCTACATACATAAATATATGGTGAGGTTATAAAAAAAACTGTGTAAAAAAAATTTATGCTGAATTTTGACGTTCCAAAGAACGAGCGCACTCTCTTAGCACAATTTACTTATTTCTGCAGAAGCATTTTTGATTTGATGCAGTAAATACGACACAAAACGAAATATTAGAAACATCGACATTTACAGGTCTCTATAGTTAGTATCCAATACTCTCTTAAACGGAAGAGATTGTCGCGCGCGCGCGTTTTGAAAAAAAGTTGGATACCATAACATACGGTTTCGCATATAAATCGATTTTGAAAAAAAAAACAAAAACACCGAGTTGTCTTTTTCTCTTTGAACGTCATGCACGTGTGTTGTCATACGTTGAATAAATGGTTTACATCTCTCGCGTTCATCCGATTATATTATTTCCCAGTTATTTGCGAGTTGATAGCGTCAGTGGAAAAACGTATTTTCCGCGAGGGACGTAATGGTGGAAACTACAAATTGTTGTGATATATGGTTCTCGAGATGTTGCCACGCGCGCGCGCGCGCGCGCGTGTACGTGTGGCAAGCGGATAAAGTTCTATAAAGCCGACGTCTTCGTTTAGCGGAATGGTGTTCAAACCTCCATTTTCGGAAACAATACACGTAAAACGACTTGCGGGGTCAGAATTGGGAACTTACATTTTTGTGACACGCATTTCAATCGACTAAAACCAGACGCGCCAGCGTAGTAATCGGAAAATTTTTGCGGAGTACAAATTTCGTTTGACTGTTCACAGTCTCTTGTCTCTCTTTTTCTCTCTTTTTCTCTCTCTCTCTCTCTCTCTCTTTTCCTTTCTCGCGTGCGATCTGTAATTGAAAATTAAATTCTTGTATTTAACAAAAATCGAAGAAAAATCGCAGCATTATGAAGTCGCATTAGAAGAGTTGAGTCGCGATGCAAAAAATTGTTGAAAGAATAAAATACGAAGATGGAAGAGATAAACTGTAAAGTTATGCTTAACTTAAAATCCATAACGCTAAGCGCCTTGAGTAGTCGGATAAAACTTTGGTCCAATAACCAACCTCGAAGTAAATGGCAACTGTATTGATCATTAAAGACTTCATTCAAGCGGTTTTTATCGATCGCACGAGACAAAACCGTTCCTTACGGAATTAAATATTTCATTCACAAACCAATATCGAAGACATTATCGAAGCTGATGACATAATAGTCGCATAAAATGATCGTGAAATTCTCAAGATCTCCGAATAATTATTACAGAAAATGAGCAATTACTGTAGTAGTTGATGGGTGTCGTGCGATTCTAATCGAACGTTATCTCACGTAAATAACATGGTTCAATAAACATTAAGCGTTACGTCTCTCAGTAAACCATCGAGGAGCTATTGCTCCTCTTCGCTACGTGCTTTATCGCTCATTTACGGCTATTGCGAGTGAATTATATCGGGAGATGGGATTTAATTATGTAGAAAATATAAACACTCGAGAGAGAACGTTCATTTGCGTTTTTCGATATTAAATTATTTCAGCGTAAATATCAGAACATATTTTTGCACGTAACGGGGGGCAAATTATAACGCGGAAACAAAACGTCTGAAAGTACAGTATCGTATTTTATACAGTTTGTTAGAAAGTCCCGTAATATCCGCGCGGCGCGATATACATTCGCTGTTATTCACTTAAGAAGTATGTAATTCCTTTTAAATCGACTCTTCTTCTTTTCAACGATCTTCTTTTTTTTTTTCTCCCTCTTATTTAATATCTCTCCGAACGTAAATTCTAACTTCCTATAAATTCATGTATTCATACTCAGGCAGAAGAC